ATGAGTATCGAAAAATTTAAAAGGTCATTTGAAATTGCTAATGTCCTCAAATCCTCATTTGTTTATGCTCATTTCGTTTAAGCGTTATGCTCATTTGGTATGTGAGAGTGATGCCACAAGGGCCGGATTGATCTGTCAGGTCAATATCACCAGAATCTAATTTATACACAGCATTAATGTTGTCATCTAGAATCTCTGCAACATCGGAGATGGAAGAACGGCGACGGACCAGAGACGCCTGAATTTTGACGGAGTGGAGCACCGGCGATTAAGCAACCCAGACGAGACTCCAACAAATCAGGTTGCGTCAAGATGAAATCTACTCCTGGTCAGACTGCATCAACGGAAAAACTCTTTGCACCGCAACGATGGTGACGGTGAAGCTCGAATCGGTGAAGGATGCAGAAGGTTCTGGCCAACGGTTCGAACGCAAAGGCTCCTTATGTTGCAATACGTCTGAATCTAATCATCTGCAATGGTTTCCCCTGAAACTCGAACGACGGCGGCTGATTTCACGAAAAAGACGATTGGCAAAAAAAGTGGCCTGAGAACCTACAGTCCTACGCACATATGAAAGTCCTATGGATGAGAGGGTTATTAAAAGGCTTAAAATTCCTTCTTATTACAAAAATACCAGTTGTACATGTACACTCATGTGTAGGATATAATCTGCATAGGCAATCACTACCGCGCTCACTACTTCGTGCTTCAATTGCAACATCACTCTACGTTTTACCCGGTGGCTGCCAGAGCTGGACTTCGTGCTTCAATTGCAACATCACTCTACGTTTTACCCGGTGGCTGCCAGAGCTGGAAGTGCACGTTGGCGTTTCAAGAAGAGTTGGCCTTTATTTTTATTTTATTTTGTTAGGTTTCACAAGTACTTAGATTTATTTGAGTTTGTTGCTTTAAATAAAATGTGGGGTGGTGGAGAGTTGGTTGTTTTGTTAGGGTGCCTTTCACCCGTTTAGAAGTATTGAAGCTAAAAAAAGAAAAAATTCCACTTTTGGTCACATGACTATTATACCACTTCCACATTTAGTCACTTACTTTCAGATTGTCCACATTTAGTCTGTGACCATTATTCCCTCACCACCTCTCGTCCTTCCGGCCAAAATTCCGGCAAATTTAATGCAGATTTTAGGTATGAAAAACCAAATTTAATGCAAAGACTGATATGAAAAACCCAACATTATATAAAATTTAATGCAAAGACTGATTCTGAGACTGATAAGTGTGCTAAATTTGCTAGAATTTTGGCCGGAAGGACGAGGGGTGGTGAGGGGATAATGGTCACGGACTAAATGTGGACAATCTGAAAGTAAGTGACTAAATGTGAAAGTGGTATAATAGTCATGGGACCAAAAGTGAATTTTTTCCTAAAAAATCATCTGTCTTCTAAACTCTCACATGGTTAACGAAACGGTATACTTTTTCTAATGTGACCATTTCTATGTCTGGTTATAGAGGGAGAGGATCTTCGGATTTTGAGTCTAATGAGGGTTTGGTAACCGGTGTGAGACTGACTGTGAGTCTGATGTACATTTCTGGCTTTAGTTTATCTTAATATAGGCGATTTCCTTTCAAAATAAAGGAATAAACATCTTGAATAATGAGTATGTGTGAGACAACGTGTTTTTCTAGTTATTCTGGAACAAAAGTGTATATATTCTTATTTTTACGTTTTTTGTGATTAGTTTAAAAAAAGTTCATGAATATATGCACTCTAAGAGGTATAATTGAGATGAATATTAATTTATTTTGTCAATATAAAACACTTAAGGTTACATAAAAATAAAAGTTACTCGTAATAAACATCCAAAACTAAATATACATACGTAAAAGACATAATAGATCAATATAACTACTATGTACGTGGTATATTATTAATGGGAATGAAAAGTGAAAATGCATTTATAAACTAAACTAAACCAAAAATATAATAACTTAACATTTAATAAAAAATATGTAATACATATAACACAAAACGTTAATTTTCTAGCACAAGAAAACCAAAGACATAATATTATTACGATTAGTGCTTCCTGCTTAACGTTTAACAAATACTACATCCGTCCCTTAAAACATTGTCAACTTCCCTTTTTTGATTGTCCCGCTAACTTTGCCACTTTCTCATTTAAGTAAAGAATTTGTGGTTCCATTTAATTCTCTCTCCTCTTCACAAACCTCAACCACACAATTTTTACTTTATTAATCCTCGTGCAGGTCAAACTTGGCAAAGTTTTAAGGGACGGAGGGAGTAAAATTTCATATTTCAATTGGTTTGATTTACGAAGTTTGGTTCGGTTTTGAAGGGACAAATCCAAAACAGAACCAAACAAATACGTTTTTGTTCAGTTTTTTACATCTTGTATCAGTATTTTTGCCGTTAGATTTATTTTGATTCAACTTTTTATTTTTCAGACCCAGTCCTACGTTTTAGTAAGTATATTTCTGTTACTAACAGAAATATTTTCTTGTTTTCTATTTCTATTTTCCGTTGTCCAATTTTCTGTTTACATTTTCCAGATTTTCTATCTTCAATTTTTTGTTTTCATCTTTTAGTTTTCCATTTTCAAATTTGAAAAACATACTCATAATTTTTTTCACCCAGTTCTTTGACCGACCAAAAGACCGAAAGTACGGTTCTAGTCCGGAACCAAACCTAGTACAACCCAAGCAGGGTACCGGGTCCCACATATAGGAAAGTCAGGACCAGAACCGATCAGTCCCGATCAATCTCAACAGTTAGTTTGATGAATTCTTTTCTCATTTCCCTATTGGTTGACAACCCAACGACTCTTTTAAAACTCTTCAATTTAAAAACTGATTTCAAAAAATCGAGACTGAACTATCGGGTCATTGATTGGCCCGGACAAGGATCACTGACACCGGGTCGTTTACAAGACTGACGCGGGACCGCCCGATTCTTGATCGGACCAAACACAGACTCTCGGTCATTTTCCAAATAGGATGGGGACCGCCGGGTCGTTGATCAAACAGGACGGGGACTACCAGCTGGTTGACCAGACATGACAGGGATCACCGAGTCATTGGTCGAACTGGATGGGGACGTCGAGTCATTGACTAAACCTGACCGTCGACCGTTGATCGGACCGAACCAGTACCGCCTGGGCGTGGGTCGAATTGGACACGTATCATCGGGTCATCGACCAAATCGGACAGGGACCGCCAAGTCATGGACTGGACCGATAGGGGCCGCCGGGTTGTAGAATGGACCGGATAGGGACTGTCGGGTCGTCAACTGGACCGGACAAGGGACACCTGGTCATTGAACGGACTGCAAAGGGACCACCGGGTTGTCGATCGGACCAGGACTGTTGGGTCATCGACCAGACTAGAACAAGATTGATCGGCCGTCGACCAGACCGGACATTGACCATAGGGTTAATGATTGGACCGAATCGGGTCAATGACCGGACCGAACCAGCGAGATATCTCCCGTAATAAATATCTCTATGATAATAAAAAAGCCAACCTTGCATAGACAATCACTGCTATTAAAACGAGTTTTTTCCACTCTTAGTCCTCCATTTTTAGTCCTTGACTATTGTGCTAGAGACACTTTTGGTATGGACCAAACCGGGCCGGCCCAGCCTTGAACCAGCCCGACCTGCCACTGTGCGGGCCCAGCCCAGCCCGGCCCAGCCCGGTTAAGGATAAGGAGGTTCGGGCTTTGACCCGGCCCAAGGGAGGGGAGCGGTTCGAGCACGGTTCTGGAAATTGGCGGCCCGACCCGGCCGGTTCGGGCCCGGTTCAGGCCAACGGCTAGATTTTAAAAAAAAAAACTTTTGGCCATCTAAACAGGCCTTAGAGCCATTGTGATTGAACCTAAACGGCTATATAGCCGTTGGGAGCCTTCCAGGAGGTCCCGGGGTGGGTCAGGGGGTGGGGTGGGGGGTTAGAAACTACTACCGCGGCCACCAAAGAACTTTTAAAGTTCTCAAAAGAAATACCGAGAATAGTGATGGACCGGTTCCGGTTCGGGCCCGATTCGGACCTGGGCCCGGCCGGGCCTCGGTTCATGAAGGGGAGGCCCGGAACCGGCCCGAGTAACCCCCGGGTCCGGGCCAGGCCGGGCAGGGCCTCGGTTCTATTTTTTTTTTTTGGGCTTTTCCTAGTTAACCCCCAACCCTCCCCCTCACCCCCAAACCAACCCTAACCACCTCAAATGGCCCAAAATACCCAGCTCAACCCAAAAACATAAAAAAAATCAAAAATAAAAAAATAAATAGGCTCGGCCCGGGCCCGAACCGGCCGGTTCACCTTTTGAAGGGCCCGAGCCCGAACCGCCATCCCACCGAGCCGGGTGGCCCGAACCGGACAACCAACCGGTTCATCGGGCCGGTCCGGGCCCGCAAAGTAGCGGGCCGGTTGGCCCGGCCCGAGTCCACCCCAAACCGGGAATCTCCCGCCACCAATATTTACCGAGATTTCTCCCGCCACCAATAATCATCATAAACCTAAACTAAACCCGCGGTATATAGCTCTAACCACCCACACCTCGTGTTTCTCTCAAGATGTCAAAAATCATTATAAAAACATTATTCATTCTTGGAAAGTTATCTCTATACATAATCTTCCAAAATATCCATTTAATGGATACGTCCACCAAAAATTCACATTCATAAATACTCCAAAATTCTTTTACATAAAAATTCACTCCAAAGTCATACTAGGGATTAAATCCCAAAATATATCTTCAACATTTCTCAAATTCTTAGTCACCCCAAATGGTACACATTCAAAATTCACACTTAATCAAATAATGCATAATAAGCCTATAATACGAGGAAACAATTTTGGATTGGCAGAGAAACTTACCTCAAAATCGACGATCCTAGTTCACGTCTTCTAACCCGGTCTCTAAATATTCACCTTTTTAATTAAGATGATATAATTAGTCACTTATTCTATTTCAATAATTTATCAAATTTTCCCCTTTTATTTTATTATTCGAATTTATTAATATTATTAATTAATTATATGAGTTTATTTTATTAATCACTTTTATTAATCAAGTCACTTAGTTCCTACAACGAGATCTCAAACTTGTTCTTCATAAATCACAATGAAAATAAATAGTCATACCAAGCAGTTGTTTTTAGGAAAGAAAATTTGGTTCGCCTGTAGACTCAACAATATCAGGTATGATGGAGAAAGGGGAGGGGCAAGTGTCAGTCAGTTGGAAACCATACTCTCCGTTTCTTGCACAAAACCATCTCCTGTCCAATCTTTATCAGACTGCAACCCTTTCTTAATACCTTTCTTCTGGTGAATAGCTTGTTGTTGTCTTTTGACCAAATCCATATGAGTGGTGAAATATGCTAGTGATGCTCTGAAGTTGAAGCCAATCAATACAACATATTCAGTACATAACATAAATGTTAGACATGCAGCAAGACAACCGGTAGAATTTTATAATAAAGTGTATAAAAGAAGAAGTAATAAGACTGCTACTAATAACTAATAACTAACGGATTGGTTAGTTAGTTATACAGTTGTCCCTGCGTGGACCTTTACTATAAATAGCAGTGTTGAGCTAGCAGAAGTAGGTTGGATTTTGGCTAGAACAGGACTGGGAGACTGGACATCTCGAATTGTCTAAATCTTGTATACTTCTATTGATGAATAAAGTGTGTAATCTGTGTGTTGGTCATTGATTCTATACTTCTCTATTGATTCTATCATTGGTATCAGAGCATTGCGCTCCTGGCGACTACAGAATTGATCGGAGAAGTACTGGATTCCTGAAAGAAAAAAAATCTCGAAGGGTGGATGGTTAAAATGAGAGGAAAAATGGATCACCGCATGGATTCGATGAAATCAGCACTGGAGCGAACTCAACAGGAGACGCAATCAGCGTTGGAGATTCTCGCAGCTAAAATGGATGCGATGGCGGAACAAATTCAGAACAGAAGGAGGTCACGAACACCTCAACCACATCATACGAGGACTTCGCACAGTCCGACTCCTTCCAGAGGTAACTCGGTTCACTCTCTGGTTCATAATGTTCGACGGAATGATGAAAACATAAGAGTACTTGGTAGAAAGGTAGATTTACCTTTATTCAACGGCTAAGGAGCCTACAATTGGATTATACGTATGGAAAGATATTTTCGCTTAAATCATATTGACGAGGAAGAAAAGGTGGAATCCTCCATGGTTGCGATGGAGGATAGGGCACTGAATTGGTTTCATCTGTGGGAGAATCAAACCGAAGAAACAAATTGGGATACATTGAAGAAATCTGGCATTCGCAGGTTTCAACTGGAGCTGATTCAAAATCCATATGGACCTATGTTGAGTTTGAAGCAAACTGGAAGTGTGAAGGATTATAGAGAAGAATTTGAAATGGTGATAGCTCCGCAGTTGCATATGGACAGGGAATTGTTGCGAGGAGTTTTCATGACAGGTTTGAAGGATGAAATCAAATCTGAGTTGAAGTTATACACATCCAAGTTTTTAACCGAGATCATGGATAGAGCCATACTCATTGAACAGAAGATTGAAACACAGTTTTTGAAGAGGAAGGAGGATGACAAGCTTAGGGGGAGGGAAAGATGTTCTGTACCAGTTAAATCTCAAAGTTGGGGTGAAAATTACAAAATTAAATCTGGTTACATTTGGCCATCTCAGAATAAAATTGTAGCAGAAAATAAGAGCAACAATTCTGGAATTGACAAGGCTGGCAGGAAGATGACTGATCCACATCCATCTGGAATTAGAAGAGCAGGACCTCAGTTATCTCAAGAGGAATTCCAAGAGAGAAGTAGAAAGGGACTATGCTTCAAGTGTGGTGAAAACTTTTAAGGTACAGGGAATTCAGTGAAAAGTGGAATAAGGAACATACTTGTAAATTGAAGAATTACAAGTTAATGTTTGTTGAAGATCCAGTTGAGGAAGAACATTCAGAAGAGGATGATACCATAGTTCCAGAAAATGTCTCTGAAGAAGCAATGGAATCTAAATCTATGCAGTTATCTCTTATGAGCAAAGAAGGGATTCCAACTATGAGGGCTTTCAAGGTACAGGGAATTCTGAAGGTAAAGGCAGGAAATCAAGAGGTAGAGGTGTTCATTGATAGTGGGGCCCCACACAACTTTATTTCACAGAAGTTGGTAGAGCAATGGGAACTACCTTTTCAGACCATTTCTGGCTACAAGGTACAAATTGGTAATGGAGAGCAGATATCCAATAACAGGAAGTGTCCACAGATGAGGGTGAGCTTACAAGGTGCTGACATTGTACAGGATTTTTATATCCTCAATTTGGGAGGTACAGATATGGTATTGGGTATGGAGTGGCTAACCAGCTTGGGGGATGTAGAAATAAATTTTCAGAAACAGACCATTAAGTGGAAGCAATGGGAGCAGGATGTGTTGATCAAAGGAGACCCCAAGCTGAATGCTATGGAAGTATCATTGAAAACCTTTTCACAAATATTGTATGATAATGGAGATGGTTATTTTTTGTATTGTGAAGGGGAAACCATAGAATTGAAGAATGAAGGAGGACTGGAATCCATTTGGGAGCAGATTTTAGAAGAATTTCCAGAAGTTTCAAATCCTAGAGATGGTTTACCTCCTAGAAGAGACTGTGATCACTCAATAACTATTCAGGAGGGGACTCAAATACCTAGTACCAGAAGACTGAGATAGAGAAGATTGTGAAGGAGATGCTTGATTCGGGGATCATCCAGAATAGCAATAGCCCATATAGCAGTCCCATCCTTCTAGCCAAGAAGAAAGATGGTGGATGGAGGTTCTGTGGAGATTACAGGGCCTTAAATGAAATCACAGTTCTTGATAAATATCCAATCCCAGTCATTGAAGAATTGCTTGATGAGCTTGGAGAGGCAACAATATTTTCTAAACTGGATCTCAAATCTGGCTACCACCAGATCCGGATGAAAGAGGAAGATAGAAAGAAGACAGCATTCAGGACACATGAGGGTCATTATGAGTATTTGGTTATGCCTTTTGGCTTAACTACCCTCAACCTTCCAAGCCTTGATGAACCAAGTACTAAGGCCTTATTTGAAGAAGTGTGCCCTAGTATTTTTTTGATGATATCTTGATATATAGTAGAACTAAGGAGGATCACATAGAGCATTTAAAAGCAGTCCTATCTGCTTTGAGGGATAATCAGTTGGTGATTAACCTAAAGAAATGCTCTTTTGGACAACCTCAATTAGTCTACTTAGGACATATTATTTCTGGAGCAGGAATAACAGCTAACCCTACCAAGATTGAAGCCATGGTTACTTGGCCAGCACCTCATAATTTGAAAGAATTAAGGGGGTTTCTGGGGTTAACAGGCTATTACAGAAGATTTGTACGAGGGTATAGTAAGATTGCAGCACCTCTTACACAACTCCTAAAGAAAGACAATTTTCAATGGGGAGAACAAGCTACACAAGCTTTTGAGGAGTTGAAAAAAACCATGACTTCACTTCCAGTCTACACCTAACTTTAATAAGACATTTATTTTAGAGACTGGTGCTTCTGGAACTGGTTTGGGTGCAGTTCTTATGCAGGAAGGCAGACCTGTGGCTTTTATGAGCAAGGTATTATCCAAAAGAAACCAGAACAGATCAGTATATGAACGGGAGCTATTGGCTATTGTACTGGCAGTACAGAAGTGGAGGCCCTATTTGTTGGGAAGAACTTTTGAGATTGTAACTGATCAAAAGAGTCTAAAATTCTTGACTGAGCAAAGACTGATGAGGGAAGAACAACATAAGTGGACTTCTAAGTTGCTGGGATATAACTTCATCATAAGGTATAGACCTGAGATAGAAAATAGAGCTGCTGATGCTCTATCAAGAAGATCTATGCTCCAGTCTGTTTCAATTGTGACATGTCAAGAATGGGGAGGTTTGGAGGAAGAATTGAAACCTGACAGTAAGTGTGCAGAGTTAATTCAGAAAGTGATTTCTTATCCAGATCAATATTCATAATTTCAGATGATAAAAGGCTTGTTGTATTATAACAAGAGATTGGTTCTACCACAAGGATCACCAAGAATCACCAAGATCATGAAGGAATATCATGAATCTGCAATGGGAGGGCACTCAGGATATTTTAGAACAATGAAAAGAGTATCCAATCTTTTCTTTTGGCAGGGTATGAGGAAGGATATCAAGAAATGGGTGGAAGAATGTGTGGTTTGCCAGACTAATAAGTATCAAGCTTTAAAGCCTGCAGGATTACTACAACCACTTCCTATTCCAAATAGCATTTGGATTGACATTAGCATGGATTTCATTGGAGGTTTACCGAAATCACACGGAAAGGATACTATTTTAGTCATTGTGGATAGATTGACTAAATATGCTCACTTTGTTGCTTTATCACATCCCTACAATGCTAAGGAGGTGGCTGATGTGTTCATCAAAGAAGTGGTCAGACTACATGGGTTTCCTAAAACCATAGTCAGTGTTTTTTTATCAGAACTATTCAAATTAGCTGGGACACAACTGAAGTATAGTACAGCTTACCACCCTCAGACTGATGGTCAGACTGAGGTGGTTAACAGATGCTTAGAAACTTATCTCAGGTGTTTGACTGGAAGAAAACCGAAGAAATGGTTTAACTGGTTGCATTGGGCTGAGTATTGGTACAATACCAATTATCATGCTGCACTGAAAATCACTCCTTACAAAGCTCTGTTTGGACAAGACCCCCCTGCAGTAATAAGGGGAGATGTTACACTTACTGCAGTAGAAGAAGTATCCAAACTGACTGCTCAAAGGAATATTATCTTGGATGAATTGAAAGAGAATTAGGCAAGGGCTCAGAATCAGATGAGGCAGCAGGCCAATAAGCACAGGAGAGAGGTTACTTTGGAGATAGGGGACCAGGTTTATTTGAAGATCCAACCTTACAAGCTAATGAGTTTAGCTAAGAGGATAAACCAGAAGTTAAGTCCCTGATTTTATGGTCCATTTGAAATAATTGATAAACTCAGTTCTGTGGCTTTTAAACTTAAGTTGTCAGAAGATAGCAAAATACATCATGTATTTCATATCTCTTTGCTACAAAGGGCTATCTCATCTACTACCTATTGTCAACCTCTACCAAAATGTTTGAGTGAAGAATTGGAGTTACAGGTGGTGCCAGAAGACATTTTAGACACAAGGGTTGATGCAGAGGGTAATCTGGAGATATTGGTTCACTGGAGTAATCTGCCACACTTTGAGGATTCTTGGGAGTCGATGGGAAAGATGAAAGAACAGTTTCCAGAGCTTCACCTTGAGGACAAGGTGAATTTCCAGGGAGGGAGTATTGTTAGACATGCAGCAAGGCAACCGGTAGAATTTTATAATAAAATGTATAAAAGAAGAAGTAATAAGACTGCTACTAATAACTAATAACTAACGGATTGGTTAGTTAGTTATACAGTTGTCCCTGCGTGGACCTTTACTATAAATAGCAGTGTTGAGCTAGCAGAAGTAGGTTGGATTTTGGCTAGAACGGGACTGGAGACTGGACATCTCGAATTGTCTAAATCTTGTATACTTCTATTGATGAATAAAGTGTGTGATCTGTGTGTTGTTCATTGATTCTATACTGTTCTCTATTGATTCTATCAATAAACAACCAGAATGAATCCTGAATCCTCAAAGGGGTGCACATTTGAGGAGATTGGAAGGGCTTAAGCATCGATACATTAACTTTCCATTTCCTTTACAGCATAGCCAAACAACTAAAAATTTAAAAAGAAAAAGAAAAAGAGAGGCAACCAATATAGAACCTGTAAATGCCTCAACAGAAGATATTTAAAGAGAGGCAACCAATATATAGAATCTCACAAACTGATGTGATGATGAAACTAGACTACAAGGCCCTTGGCGTGCTTTTAACAGCAACTCTTTACAAAAAAAAAAAACCACTTTTCCTCTTTCCATTCTCTTATTTGTGTTTGGATGGATAAGTAAGGTGGCCTTTGTTATTTATGTGTGTAGTGAGTGCATGATACACACACACACATATGTGTGTGTGTAGAGAGAGAGAGAGAGAGTACCCTTTAAACTGTTGAATAGATGAAAATTTATGCTTTTTCATGAAATCTCTGAGCTCTGAGCTCAGCTTCTTAACTAGTCCATAACCATGCATCATAACACCTGTGCAAACCTGTGTATGTGTATAATGAGACTCTAGGTAATATTCATGTAAAAAGTTAGAGATGGGGATATGATATACCTTTAAGACACTTCAATCTGGAATAGCACAAAAAACTTTTGCAATATAAACAAAGAGTTACTAAGACTCGTATCTTAATCCCAACATACACTTTTCACATAGCAGCACGGAACAATCATGCCTACTTATGCCCACAATTGTATAATAATCATTATATAACCATATGCTAAGCAAAATTGGTGGTCATATCACTGTATTAAAAAATGCCAGCTTAAACCAATTTGGATGGGGGTCTAATATATAAGTGCACGCGCCTGAACATAGGGGTGGAATGGTTTCGGGTCTTTAAAAAATACGAACAATTTGAAGACCCGCTTATATTAGTTCAGCTCTAACATTTTTTTGAAGAAGTGATATGAGTACCATTACTATCATATCTTTTATTGGTTAACCATTAACATATTAAGGGAAAAGGTGCAAATAAGCCCTCGAACTAACCGAAAAAGTGCAAATCACCCCTTTTATAGGAGGCTCTGTCCGGCCGTCGCCATTTGGGGAAGTTACCGGTAGAATTTTTTGATGGATTTTTTTGAGCATATCCTTCATTAAGTCTAGTTTACGCATACCAAATTTCAGCTAAAAATTCAACAGGGAAGGCAGTCAAACATTTTCTGAAATATATTGCGCTGTTTAACTGCGCAGTTATCTTCAAACATTTATTTGTCTGCCTTCCCGATTGCATTTTTAGCTGAAATTTGGTATGAGTAAACTAGACTTAATGAAGAAGATGTTCAAAAAAATAATCAAAAAATTTCAACGGTAACCTCTCCAAATGGCGACAGTCGGACAGAACCTCCTATAAAAGGGGTGATTTGCACTTTTTCGGTTAGTTCGAGGGCTTATTTGCCCCTTTTCCCACATATTAAAACCTAATATCAACCTAACATATAATTAACCGCCTGAGGCGCTAACTAACAAATAAATAATTAATAAGCAAAAAATGTCAAGAAAGTGATTACTCCTTTTGTCCCACTATGATTGTCCCATTTTTCGTTTTACACTTTACTAATTTAATACTAATCCATTACTCTACTTCTCTTAAAACCACACCACCTCCTCTCGTCCCAAACTTAGAGGGATGAAGAGTTAGAGAACACAAAATTCTTACAAACATTGGGATTAGTTGTATTGGGTGTACATCTGGTGGAATTTGATGACAACACATAAACATATATGTATATATGTGTGTGTATACACAGTTACACACACACACATATACACATTAAATAATGGCTTCTTAATAATTTTGCTAACAAATTTTAATAGAACCGGGAACTGAACCATTAACAAGGATTAGGAAATAGGAACCTAAAAGTTAAGAACTTATACCACTATAAGTAAGAACCAAACCGGGTCATAATGGTTCAGTTCTAATCAGTTCTCCAGTTCCCCAATATAAAATCCCAGCCCTACCTGGACAGTATCTGCTCCAAGAAGTATAAACTCGGCAGCGTCGCCACCTGTCTCAACACCTCCAATACCAGAGAGTGAATACTCTTTATTATCCCTAAATTCAGATTTCATCATTTTTGCTATGTTCATTACATTTGCTAGAGCAATTGGATGCACAGCCTTGGATGAATAGCCTCCGGGAGTTGAATATCTAGATTTAAAAAAAGGGGGGAAGGAATGGGTAAATAGGGAGTTAGATAAATAGATGCACACCATATTCCTTTTGAACACTAACCCTTCAACACAAGGCTCAGGGCGCAAAGTATCCAGATTGATGCCCATGACACTCATGATCGTATTTATTGCAGACACCCCCTCACATCCTGCTTTAAGAGACACCCTAGCTGGCTGTGAGACACCCCCAAGGTACAAAAGAAATGCAATTAATGAGTACGGGTACTTTTTAAGATGGTACCTGTGAAATATATTGACATGTTTTTTCTTCCTTTGGATTGATCTATATGAAGCGAATACCTTTGTAACGTCAGTGATATTGGGTGTCATTTTTGCCCAAACAGGGACAGTGGCCACATCATTAATCCATCCACAGACCTCCTCCAAAAGTTCACAATCTTGTCCAACAGCAGCACCCATTTTACGTTCTGGCATCCCATGAGGACATGAAAAATTGACTTCAATGGCATCCTATAAATAAATAAAAAGGTAAAAATATATAAATAAAAAATAATGATAATAATGGTTTCAAGGTAAAGAATGTGTGTAAAGAAAAATGGAGTAGCAGATAGTGATAGGGGGCAGTGTTGATTGCTTACTACTCCAGTCTCCTCAACCCGGTAAATGAGTTCCTCCCAGGCAGCTTTATTATACTCTTCCATGACAGAAGCAACAAGTATCCTCTCAGGGTACTCATCTTTCAACTGTTTGAACTCTTTCAACATTGTTTCCAAAGGTCTATCACTTATCAGTTCAATATTTTCCCACCCAATAATTTGTCCTCTTCCAGAACCACCAATGGATGATCCTGCTCTAAGTTTAGCATATCGAGGAGTTACATTTACAACCTTTGCAGCATCGAGGGAAACCTATATACACTCAACGCATATACGTATTTCAGCATGAATACAGGGGTTCATCGAAGATTAATTTGGTAAGGACCATATATGTAAGAAATGTGGTGAACCATAGATTTTTTACCAAAATGGGAAATGGAAGATAATTCAGGGGTGGAGGGGTACTTTATTTAGTTTGAAACTGTTCTTTAACAAGTGTACTTTATAACAAATTTTTGCTATTGGATATAATGTACTTAATTAAAGTTTTTCCCATGGATATACTTCATTTACTATTCTGCTCCAATAGTTTTATTCCTGGATCCCGATACAGTTAAACATCCAGGACTTAGGAAAAAAAGTTGTAAAGCGATGAGTAAGCTACCGTTTTGGCGATGACCGCGCCCCATCCTTCGTCAAAGGCCCTCTTCATAACAGTGTAGTTGGTGCCGGGAGGGCCAGAACCGATCACAAATGGGTTTGGCATTTTTAAACCGTTTACAGTGATACTGAGGTCGGGCTCTGCTGTCTGGTTTTCCGACGCTGACATCCTCAAACTTCTTCTACCGAGACGGCAAAGCCGTGGGCGAACCATCTCCGGAAAATCCGCTGTGCACTTCTTCTTGTAGAGTCGCATTTGAATTGTCTGAGTTAACCCAATAGACGCCATCTCTGCTCTGTGCTGACTAAATTCTGGCGGTGTGGATGAGGAGAATGACGCTGAGAATTTTTTGGTTTTTTAGAGTATGAATGATGAGAATTGAGAAGTGGCATGTGTACACGAAATTGATTTCCTTGAAGTTCACATCAGGGCGGATCTAGAAACTGTGACTATTAGGGGGCATTGATTAAAAAAATGCGAGGAAAAAATCAATATTAGCCGAAGAAATGAAAAATTCAATATTAAGAGATTAGAAAATATTATGACATTTTTACTGATAAAGATATTTTTCAGTCGCTCGTACTCTGCCCGTCACCAAAATGGTTATGCGCATCTATTATTTGTAAAAGATGAACATGTATGTCCTTGCTCACGTACTGAAATCGTAGTTAGGTTGCTAGGCACACCCAGTTGCTTTTCCCTAATAATTAGGAAGCATTTTTTATTTTGAAGGGAATAATACTCAAGATTCGATTATCCACCTATAAATAATAGTTATGTCTGGCACAAAACTATGATTGTGGAATAGTTCTTTTGATACTCAAGATTCGATTATCCACCTATAAATATTTGGCACATTGTATCGAAGAGATTTTGGAATTATTAACATCCCTTTGTAAGTTCTTTATTCTCTCCTAATTAATCAAATATTTCCTTTACATTTAAGTACCATTCATTCCGAAATTATTAGTCTTTTCCTTCATCGTGTTGTTTCTTTGTTGAATTTTGATTGCCCTGTGTTTATATTTGTACTTCTTCCCATCCCTTTGTTTGTATTCTTTGTTTATTTCTTTGTATCCCTTTGTTTTATTTTGATTACAATGTGTTTGCTGAAATGTCCATGTGAAGTGTTCTAGGTAACCTGATGTCGTTTACTTAAATTTAGGGTTGTTTTAATTTTATTTCCCCCTTTTGTGGTTTGGTAGCTATACGGTTGCTACATGGAAGGGCAAGCTCTCCCGTTCTGTGGTTGTCAATATTTACCTAAATGATTCTGATTGCATCTTAACAAGGAAAAAGAATAACAATAGACATTGGTACTTGATTGAAAATTGATTAGGCACTATGTCCATCACTAGCTTAAAAGTTCAAGCATAGGTCGTTAACCTTGACAAACTTCAAAAGAAAAGGTGATCAACAGAATTACATTATATGTGTTCATTATGTAATACTATACCTTTTAATTAAACTTTAATAGCCCATGATATACTGTTTAGTTTGTCTTTTAAAGTGTGGGAATAACTAACTTCTTTGTTAAACTACACGTTGAAAAACGTTGCCTTTGGTTACGTTGTTCCTGGTTTGGTTTAACACAAGTTTTAGTAGAATTGATATTGAGATTAGATTTAGTGGGATGGTACATGGACAATAGTTATCCTTGCTGAAAAATGTTGGATTTATGAGAAATTTGTTATGTCCATTTTCCAACAAGGAAGATTGAAGATCATGCAAATATATAAAAATCAGGTCTTAAGTAAGCAAGTTAAATTTGACAGCATGAATATGAGTGAACCGCCTGAACATTTAGCACATTCAGACATCTCAGTCGAACAACCCTTACCAACCAGGACATTAAAATGACTTCTGAGTTTAAATACAAAATTGTTTGTTCTCCCTTTGTGCAGATTTCTTCTTTCTTTTTCCACACGTTATATCTACACAGGTTTGTGTCCAAGATTTGAAGTATCTATTTGCTGAATTATTATCTGTTAATAGATGTTGTCTACTGAAACCGATATAGATGTCTTTCTGTTGTTGAATGTGGAGCTGATTTAAGGTTATGATATCATAATCATCTTGCCAGTTGCAATGCTTACATTGTGTTTATGTGTTTGTATTAATTTACTTTGTTTTTCAGCTACTTTCAAGGTCTTTTGAAAGCTTCCCTCGGAGCAAAGTAAGACAATTATGTTTTTTTTTTTAATTTGTATTTGAAATCTAAAAATATCTATAGCACAACTACACAAGTATGCCTCCCACATGTAATTTTGGCAGAGTTTGTTTGAGATAGAATTTGTTTACGGTTGGATTAGGTAAAAGGACCAAATTAGACACTAACCTTTTATCAGTTACGGAGTATATTTCAAGATCAATTTAGACATTAAGGTGTTTTTAAAATCAAAACCCCATCAATTGTGTAGTATGCCGTTTTGATAATTTTCATGTAAGGTGTATAAGTTTGTAGCTGTTGTGTTGCTTGTTTCTTACTTTAAATTTATTGCCTTCACTTTTTGCCTTGATAATTACGTAATACTATGTACATACTACTACATATTAACTTAGGCTATTATATTTACGTTCGTGTATACTTCATATTATGTCAATCACTGCTAATTATTTATTTAATTGCATCCAGAATGTCTGATTAACCATCTTTCAGGGAATAGACTTACAATATAAAAGATACTAAACTAATGGAATTTACATAAAAATGCCAATACATGCATAATGTTGATTTTTTGTTTTATAAAAGAGCTTGTTTTACAACATATTTTTATTTGAATAAAAATGACTATTTAAATCAACCACAAGCGGGATTATTTAGATGACTATTTAAACCAACTATTTTTATACTTGGACTTATTTCATACCAGACCAGATCAGACATGACTTGGATAGTTATACAATACAAAGAGATCAGACCAGTTCAGACCAGACCAGATCATATCGGATCACACTAGAGCAGCAAATTTTAGTCCAGATAAAACCATCCTAAGTCTGATCTGATATGAGACTGAAAATAGTTCAAGTAAAAACATTCTAATTACAGTGTTTCAAATAAGAGGTACAAGTATATATGGATATTAAGTGGACGTACACCGCTACGTGATTCATCTGCTTTAATCTAGCCTATAAATACACTATTATCAACAAATAACAAACTATGTATTCAAATATCGTATTCATATTATTAATGTATTCATATTACTCATATATTGACTCAACCTAAACCGAAGAATTGATATCCCTACAATGATCTTGGACATTACCACGAACGCGCAACGCGCGTCTGAAAACTAGTTAGATTATATATTTGAATAAGTAACATTTTTAATTCTAGTAAACTAATTATCTTCATTTTTTATTTGTTTGACTAATTTCAAACGTGGAGGGCCCCGCCTTTTAAAACTCCACCAGCACCATGTTGATTCCACATTACGGTCATATATGTTACATGACTAGATTTATGGTGTGAATGACATTTAGGATGTTTTTAATTGAACTGATTTCGAACCAGATAGATTCGAACAAATAGAATCAGATCGGACTACAATAGATTTAAATAATACTCCCTCCGCCCCCCTATTATTGTCCCATTTCCTATTCATTTGGTCAACACAAATCACTCTTAATCTCTTACTTTATTGATCAAATTTTTATCAAATTTGATTTTGGTTTTTGCGACTTTGTAAAACTTTTAATGTAGTTTCTGAATATGCAAAAAAAAATTCTGAAATTTTTTTTAGTGCTGACAGGGATCTGTTTGCTTTATCATCAGTCAAGCATCGTAAACCGCAATGGAACAATAACAGGGGGACGGAGGTGGTAGTAAATATACATTTATCAAACGTTCACGATACTTGACCATATTTTTTTAAAAAAAATACATATATAATATTGGTGTCATATGAAATATCATAAGAAAATATTTAATTTGGTATAATTTTTATAAAAATCGGAGCAAAAATGAAAAAGTTATGACATTTTATAAAAAAAGAATTACTTGCCACATGACAACATTTTAAAAGATGTATATTGAATGTAAAATTGATATTGGCAATCCTTCTTAATGGAGCCGAGTGAGGTCCGGAGGTGCGCAAAGCAATTTCATTTAGCTTTTTAATTATAATAATTAATTTTAATTATTAATTAAGAAGGCCAAATTTGTCCGCCCATGGTTACGTAAAGCAATTGTGGAGGTGCGCGAAGCAACCCCCTTTTTCAGTTGTGTTTTTCGTTCTTCAATTTTCTATTTTTATTTTCCTGTTTTTCTATCTCCAATTTTTTGTTTTCAATTTGTAGTTTTTCATTTTCAAATCTAAAAATATCTTCAACAATTTTTTTACTCTGTTCTGTGTGACCTACCAAAAGACCAAAAGTACGATCTCAACCCGGAACCGAACCTAGTACAATGTTTGAGCGATCCCAGATCAACAGTCGATTAACAAATAAATAATAATATGAAGAATTTGAACAGTAGAAGAATAATTCATCACCATTCAATACTGTATATTCATAAAGATGTAGGTGCTCTATTACACGGATGAACTGTTTAGAGAGAATAATCTAGGTGCTCTACGAGAATAATAGGTGCAGAATAAATTGTGTAGAGAGGTCGAGCATCCTATTATAATTAGAACAAATCGTAGATGTGTGCTTGTGGTCTTAATTGTAAACAGATAAAAAGCATATTTCCCTCTCAACTAAAAGCCCATTAATACTAAGACTAATTAAACAAAGATAACTACAATTAATTTGAACACATTAAATAATGTTCTAACTATTCCCCCTTTGTGTTCAAATGTCGATGAAGCACAGAATATCTTTGGGTCTTGTATAGCGGTTTCCTGTAGCCAAGTATGACTTCATAATGTCTGAGTGTTCTTCTGAAATCAAGTTGAATACTTATGGCTTCTGCAAAATCACCTATCAGAGCTATCTGAATCATGTCTTCTCGATTCTCAGAATTCTTTAGCTTCAAGGCGCATTCTTCCAGAAATTCTTCAATGATGTGTAGCATTCCATCACAATATTTATGCACTTCTTCCATCAATAGGATACGCTTCACACCTTTGTAGTCTCTCTAGATGATTCAAATCTCATGATATATGGTGATTTCGCCTTCTTGAAAGTTTTGAATACAGGAAGTGGTATTTCTCAGAGTTGTAAGATTGGCCTTGCTTAGGTTGCTTTCAATCGCCATTTGTAGATCTACTAAAGAGTAGTACTTGATCTGTCTCAGCATGAATCTCTTGATGGTATTAAGACTTAATTCCCTGTCTTTCATTGGAACGTCATTCAATCTCACATTTCTATATCCAGATAGCAACTGTATCAAGTCTTTAGGGACAACATAAGGAAAATCAGCTTCAGACGCTCTTTGAATCACTTTGTTATGTCTTTCAAACTCAATCACCGGATATTTTACGGAACCACATTGATGGATTTCAACTGAGGTGATCCCAATGATCAATGA